TGCCTGCAGATTCACAGTCCGAACTACCCTCTCCCTTACGAAGACAACACCGACTGTTCTCTGACTGTCGTTGCGCCGCCAGTCTGCCAGATTGTGCTGCAATTCTGCCACTTATCGCTCGAGAGATGCCCCTACGATTTTCTGAACATTACTGATGGGATGACCACGTAAGCTGAATGTCTGGTGACTTTTTGGCTATTTGCCTGCGTGTCTGAACATGCATCTATCAGTGTATGACTGTGAGTGAATGTACGTGTGTGTGTGTGTGTGTGTGTGTGTGTGTGTGTGTGTGTGTGTGTGTGTGTGTGTGTGTGTGTGTGTGTGTGTGTGTGTGTGAGAGAGAGAGAATTCGTAAAAAATAGGTACAGGCACACATTCCATTTGGCCAGAAACGATACTTGCTACTGTCTCTCCTCCAGGTCCTCTTTCTGCGGGAAAGCCCAAGTGCTGCCCTCGCCCGCCAGCCTCGGCAACTCCGTCACTGTGCAATTTTCCACAGACTTCTCACAAGTCAACATCGGCTTTAATCTTGCTGTCTCCCTAAACTGTGTAAGTATACCGATTGACAGTTTAAGAAAGATTTTTTTTTTGTGATTGTTACTGATATTGTTGTTGTTTTTGTAGTATACTGTTATTAATATTATTGATATTACCACAATGATGATAATTAACAGCAAGCGAGCAAACTAGTATATAAACAAATTATTTGGTAACTTCAGACAACGTATTTAAACCCTGGCAGTAATTTAAACTACTGCTATTGTCATAGTTACTGTGGTCTCATTTATAATTATGACCACTGTTACGTTATCATTACTATTTTTATCATTATAATTTCAGTTTGGTAGTATTATTGTTACATTTATCTCAACAGAATTATTGAATTAGTTGTTACCGCTATAATAACTTATGTATTAGTGTATATATATATCCCTTATTTATTTACTTATAATTTTAACACGTTTGGACAGAATTACACAACGACAACTACAACAACGTCCACCTCTACAACTACAACAACGTCAACCCCTACAACTACAACAACGTCCACCTCTACAACAACGTCCACCTCTACCACTACAACAACGTCAACCACTACAACTGCAACCACAACATCTGACCCCTGCCTCAACGCCCCCGTGTATACAAGTAAGTTACGATCAGTTAATATCTTAACCGTTTTATTATTATAAAATTCATACATTTCGTTACTATCGTTGTCATTTACTGGAATTAATTAAACAGAAAAAAATAGAAAGAAAATACCAATTCATTCTGCAGGTTTTACTTGTTTTATTAGCATTAGTAGTAGTAGTAGTAGTAGTAGGAACAGTACTTTAATGGTTGAATAAAATCACTGTTGATTTTTTGGGGTGTTATAGCTGTATCGGAAACACTTCTTTCCATAGAGAGTAATGCACTTATTATTATATATGTCATTATCAATATTGTTTATGCGGTTATCATTGCCCTTGATGTTAATATTGACAATATATTGCACATCCCAAGCCACGGCCGCCATTGCAAATGGACACCAGCAGCAGAGCGGGCAAGAACACGTTTTCGAATTGAAATCAGTTTCCCCCTTTTTCAGCACGCAAATTAAACCCAGTTTTCCCCATTTATCAGTACGCAATTGAACCCACTTTCCCCCCTTCTCGGTATGCAAATTGAACCTACACCCCCCCCCCCCTTTTCTGCACGCAAATTAATCCCAGTTTCCCCCTTTCTCAGTACGCATATTGAACCCAGTTTCTTCCCTTTCTTAGTACGCAAATTTAATCCATATCCCTTCTTTCTCATTACACAAATTGAGCCCATTTTTACCCCTTTCTCAGTACGGAAATTGAACCCAGTTTCCCCCTTTCTCAATACGCAGATTATACCCAGTTTTCCCCCTTTATCAGTATACAAATTGAACCCAGTTTCCCCCTGTTTTAGGCACGTAATATAAACTAACATTTCCCTTTTTCCAGCACGCAAATTGCCCCCCCCCCCTTTCTCAGCATGCAAATTGAACCCATCCCCCCCCTCTTTCTCAGTATGCAAATTGAAACCACCACCCCTTTCTCAGCACAAAGATTGAATCCATTTCCACCCCTTTTTCAGCACGCAAATTGAAACCCTTTCGTGGTACGTAATTGAACCCATTTCAGCACGCAAATTGAACCTATTTCCCCCCTTTCTCAGTATGCAAGTTGAACCCATTTCCCCTCTTTTTCAGCACGCAAATTGAATCCATTTCCTCCCTTTCTCTACGTCAATTGAACCCATCCCCCCCCCTTTCAGCACGCAAATTGAACCCAGTTTTCCCCATTTATCAGTACGCAATTGAACCCAGTCCTCCCCCCTTTCTCAGTACCCAAATTTAATCCAGTTTCCCCCTTTTTCAGTATGCAAATTGAACCCAGTTTCCCCCCTGTTTTCAGCACGTAAAATAAACTAATATTTCTCCCTTTTTCAGTACGCAAATTAACCCAAATTTCCCCCCCTTTTCAGC